AGTATGCCAGGAAGGTCAGCAGTCCTCCACCAACAAGTTTTTAAGAGAATCTATCATACTCTAGTTGGTTCGCAATTACCTATGTTTATATAATGCCTATCCTGCTGTGATCTCAACATTGATACTTAAGTAACCTCCATGAATGCAACAATGATTCAGCCTTGATCTGCCTCCTTCATACTTTTGACCCTATGGACTGTTTTATAATTGAGTCTGGCTGAAGCTGCTGATGACTGATGTTTTTATGAGATACCTTCAAATTTCAACAAACCATCCATTTTGTTGGTATCACTTCAGATTAGGGCCTATCCAGCAAGGTAACCTTGGCTACTTCCATCATGAAACTCCGCCCCACTTTAACCCTGTCAGATGCAGAGAAGCTCGTCCGCGCCTTTATCTCCTCAAGACTGGACTACTGTAACTCACTCTTCACTGGGATCACTGCCAAGAACATCCAGAAGCTGCAATACATTCAAAACAGCGTTGCCAGGATCCTAATGAGAGTCCGGAAGTATGAGCACATAACACCCACTCTACACTCACTACACTTTGACTACAAAGTCCTACTACTTACACATAAACGCATAAATGGACACGCACCTCCCTACCTACAAGAACTCATCACTCCCCAATTCTCCACCCGCACCCTCAGATCATCAAACAGCTCACTCCTCCGGGTCCCCAACACCAAGCTCCGCACCATGGGCGGCCGGGCCTTTGGCTCAGTTTTTAAATTGAGCAGAAATCTTGCTATGGAACAGTCTCCCTGACCACCTAAGGGCAACACAGACACTGGTCTCTTTTAAGACTGGCCTAAAAACCTTTTTATTCAGGAAGGCGTTTCTGATCTAAATCACTGTCAGTTATTTCTTTTGTGTTTCTGTTCAGTGTTTTTTTTATGCTTACTAGTTATTTTATTATAGTTTGTTTTAACTATGTTTTTTTACTATGTTTTTTACGATGTACTGGCTCTGTCACACTCTGAGATTTGTTTTAATGAAAAGTGCATTACAAATACATTATTATTATTATTATTATGAATATGCTCAACAGATCAGCATGGGTTGATATTCACTGAACCACATCTTACATCCTAAGGCAATGTTTAAGTTCATCCATTCAAAAACGCACATTGAAATAACTGATGATTAATGTGTAACCAATGTAAACAAAGGGCAGTAGATCTAGACATATCATTGTTATACTGTATACAAATGGAGAAAAAAATGTTCAATCTCAAATATGAAGTGCAGAGCGATTATACAGCATATATGAGTAACAGTTTAGGTCAAGTTGTGGTTTTAGAGGAGACTCTGCCTTACCTCTGTATTCTTGTGTTGCAGAGGTCGATGGGGATGAGCTATCTCAGCACTCATCGATTGCAAATGAGAACTGTTCAGACTGAGGCTGCAGCTGTCCACAGAATGAGAGGAGGAAAGAAATCAATGAATGAATACTTGAATCTCTCAGACTCAATCAGAGAAATCTGTGCCTGGGATGAAGAAGTTTTCTTTAAAAATGAAGAGTTTTGATTGCTTTATATACAGAAAGGAGGAAAACGTTACTACAAAATCTGTGAGCGAACCAGTATTTGTCTATATGTAAATGAGCCAAAAGTATGTTCATATTGAGGTAAAGCAGCACCCTCCTTCACTGGTCAAACCCAGGCTCTTAAACATACTGGTGTAGTGAATATTGGTGACTTCTCACAGAAAACTCTGACGTCTGAGTCAGGAAACGGCCTGCATAGACTCTAGAAGGACTCTAAAGTTCTACGGTGTATGTTAGGTTGTCACTGGTAGCCTCATCATCCAAGGGCCACTGTTCCATTTCTTGTTCCTGGTCATGAACATGTATGACAAAGGTTTGGTGCCTCTGTAAAGTAATGGTCTTGAGTGAGCAGATATGGATATGAGAATCAGGTCAGAGAGGATTCTTAGGTTAATGGTTTGGGGTCTGTAAGAGAAAAAAAACAGTAACCAGATATTTAGTGTTACACTTCCATAAAGTTGAGAGACTCACAATGGACAAATAAAAAAAGGTCACAATCTAGGCAGTAGAGGCAGAGATATCATGACTATTTGTCCCCATGGGTGAAGCAACTTCCCACAATGCAACTGAATCTTGTTGACTGGCGTGGAGAAATGCGCTTCAGGTGTGATCATCATGGTCGTAAAAAGTCACTGTCTGTCTGCATCGGCACCGCTTGAAACTGACCATAAGTCCATAAGACAGCTATCTGTGGTGGTCAGGTGACTGGAGCAGGCAGAGTGTGTGTCCATTACGCTCGGTGCGCAAGACAGCACAGTCACGTTTACTGCAGCAATTTTACAAACAAAAACTCTATGAGAACTAAAATCTTACTTGGTGATACACAGTAGGTTATAAGAAGATATTATTGAAAGCTATTGCCATTCTTATGTTATGTTACTAACGTTACATCTTAACACTGTAATTGGTGATTAACTTTATTTCTGTTAACTTAACTTGCTATGCTGTTAGCTAGCTAACCTTTCTAATGCTACTTGAGCTCGAGCTAGCTAACGTTACAGAGCTAGCTCCACCAATATTAGCAAACTAATGTAATGAAACAGTCCAAGTGAAACATTATCTGAGATGTTAACAGTTCAATAATCATGAAGACAAAACACTACTGGAGACTTTGAATTTCGGATGATAAGCGTAACATTACCTCGGTTGATCTCCACATGGCTGTGCTCAGAAGGATGAACTGAAGCTGTGCTCCAAAGTCACGTTCAGGAGCAGTCGGTCATGTCTTGTCACTCAAAAATGACTTTTAGGCAATAAACAGTTTGAATAATAAAAAATATTCTGTCGTCATTACAGACACATTAACCTACAATAGACAGTACGATGTAGATGGATCGTGATTCACTGAACTTGTATAGAAAAGCTTATTTCCACCACTTCACAGAAAATACTGTATTATGCTGATAAATTACAGTAGTCTGCTGTTATGGTTAATGGACAGCATTGACTGTTAATTTACATGCGAGGGATGAACATTTAACTGTATTTTACAGTTATTATGAAATACTGTAAGATACCGTTGAAAAGCCACCGTAAATTTCCATCAATTCATTATAGTGCAGATATGTGGGATGCGTTTTTAATGTGCAGACAGTTTTGAAATTGAGCAGAAATCTTGCTGACACATAAGAGCTGTTAAAGTCCTGCAGGGGTTAATGAAATAATGAAAATTAATTCATGTATAGTTGAGGTGAATTAGTGCCACATGCACATTAAAAGATGTTACTTTCCCAAACAAAAGACAAAAAACAGGAGGAAGTGTAAACCATGCCTACATGTGTGCTAACTCAGCAGAAATCCCTCAAAGATTCCTGGGGGACAATGTGCTTTATACACCAAACAAACCTACGCCTCTGAACTGATAGTGTTCCTTGAACCCAACACAAAAGAGCACTTCACAAAACATGGATTATTACTGTATAGCAAATCTCTGCTGCAGTCAATTAGCTCATTAAAATATGTTGTAAAAAAAACGGACTTTGATCTCATTCTTTTATCTTGTTGTAATGTCTAATGTGTGCTGACAGTGGTCATGGTATAGATACTGTTTTTTTATTAGCTGCATGTTTATTATCAGTCAGAGTTGAGCTTTACAAACCTCCAGTTGGTAAGGAGCATGTTAATCAGTTTGAATCTACATTTACTGTGCCACAATATTAGATTGTGAGCATATCATGCTATTTCTGAGCAGGTCTGTTACTGAGGCTGCAGAGGAGTGACCTCTGGACTGAGTAGGCTATTCATGGTTATATACATAAGTGTAACAGGTGCACTTTGATCTGTTGGAAAACAGAATCACAGCAGTGCTGGAAATGGCCTGATGTAACTGGAGGAACCTACTGACAATCTGCTGTGTCAGCACCAGACCAACAGGCCTGCATACAACATGACTGCATGTATCACCTACTACATAAGCTGGTGAAAATGTGTATTTGCAAAAATGTTAAGAGCTACACATAAATCAGTTTCCCACCGATTCTGTAGTAACATTACACTTCGTCTTAAAGGTCTTGCTTGTCAAACACAACTACCGATTGGATTTCTTTGACAGTGAAACAAAATATTGATTAAATTAATAAAGCTAAAATCTTGGCTGGTTTCATGCAACAACATTTTGTTTTAGTGTTCCAGGTTTGGACAGTTAAATACAGCCTAGCTGTCACAGCCTTTATAAAATGCTTTTCAACTTTTGTACCTTCGTTCAATCTTTATCGTTCTCTCCACCTCAAATACTGTAGCTCCTGACAAGTTCAATGTTGTGTAAATTTAAAACATTATGAAAACGACCATTCAATGACTCTATACTTATTTGATATTTACATTTGTATCTTTTATATAACTTAGGCCGTTTATTATAGCCATACTATGAATTTATTTTTATTTAAAACTTTAAAAAAACGTTTCTGTTGCATTGTTTTTATTTGCATTATTATTATTAGATATACATTATTATAATTAAATAAATACAAATAAAGTTGATTACCCTGCTTATAAACCACTTGTTTACATCAAGAAAATAATATTTGAATAACTTTGACTCCATAAATGAGTTTAGTATAAACATAGAGCAACAGGCACACGAATGATACCTGTACCTCCATAAACAGAAGTTGTGTTTTTTTACACCACAAAGTTAGACTTGAGACCTATTTTAAGGTGGTCTTGGCCCTTTTGGAGGACTGTCAGGTACTCGTTTCCTGTCATGCTCCTTACCAATCACATTTCCTCTCACACTGGTGCAGACCCGGACCTCAGAAATGTGTAATCTCGCCCTAAACGAAGGCTTTTCACTGATGGAGCTTGTTCTGTGGCGCACATTCTGAGCCCCTAGCAGGAAATACTCAGGGCACAAACAGGAAATCTTCTGCGCCTCCCCTTCACGTGAAATGGGCGTTCCCGCATACTGAGAAGGAGCTTATGAATGTGCATGCTAGGGCGTCAGTGCTAACTGAGGGCAGGATGTCGACCAACGGGGAGTATGACTGTATTGTGATCGGGGCCGGAGTCCAGGGCTCCTTCACGGCCTATCAGCTGGCAGAAAAGAAGCAGAAGACGCTGCTGCTGGAGCAGGTGTGTTACACACGAAACTTTGTTCCATAACATTTGTTTTAAACAATCTCAGCTAAGAGGCTGCAGGAGAGAAGTTTTGTGCCTGCACATGAATGACATAATCATTTATTCAGGGTAGAAATCTTAAACCTATCCTACTCAAAAGTGCTTTAACGTGGTGGTCAAAGTCAGAACATTAGTGTGACTCCTCCCAGGCAGCAGCTGGCATTATTGGGCATCTACTCTTTCACCAAACATATGCTCTTTTGTTATCTTAAGTAAATTCATTTTGTAACTGCCTGGATGTAAAGCTGCAATAAAAAACAACTATAATGAACATTTATTTCGTTATAAATCCGTTTCAAGTTGATTTAGCTCAATTTTATTTAATAAAATAAACCATGTGCACAATATAAACCTGCATAACTGTAACTGATGGGTTTTTAGGAACAAGACGGTTCCTTGACATTACCTAATAATGCAGGTGCTGATTTAGGCCCCTGTCAATGTTGGATGTAATGTTCTTTGGTGGTGCATATAATATTGACAAACACATTTGTGATTAATGAAATTATGCTTGGGTCGAGGCTGTTTTAAGGATGTGTTTAATTGCTTCAACAGCTTGTCATTAATAGACTCATTTTAAACAAAATATGCCCTATTAATGTATACACACCATTTTTGGAGTGTGTTGTCACCACAAAAACTAAACACCATTAATCAGAAGATCTTCGTTTGTGTGTCCTTGGGAAAGATACTGAACCCCAAATTGCTCCCGAAGGCTGTGCCATTGGTTTGTGAATGAGCATGTAGATTATTACCTGATGAGCAGGTGCCACTTAGTCTTTAATGATTCAATTTGAATTTAGATTCTTGGGGTAATGATTAAATTCAAATCGTTACATAGAGGTGCTAATTGCAGGATCTACTCCGGTCCGCTGTGCACAAGGGCGGTATGGCAAATTAAAGCATGACAGCAGAGTAAAGTATGTATAAGGTGATGGAGTTTTTATGTATTTCAAGAAGTTGTATAAACCAATTGCATTAATGTAAACACACAAAGGCAAAAGGTCACATTTATTCTTGCTAAACTTATACAAATAAACACATTTTACTTGAAAGTTTTTAGTTTTTCTAAATCCTCAGTGACTTCAAGTTATAGAAAAAATATAATCGGTAGGATTTTATTGCTCAAAAACTTGCTAATTTCAAGAATAAATTGTACACAAAATAACACTTTAAAACTGGTATTCAGTGTGATTTTTCAACTAATCATACACCTGATGTCCATGACTCTGTGTAACTGACAGCACTGAGCAGTGCTCTGCTGTGAGCTGAACTTCAGTCAGAACCCTGTTTCTATGTATTCCTGTCACTCACTTTGAAAGCTTCACAATAGAGGAGCGGCTGATATGAGGAGTTATCTATATGATACCTGAGTAGAAGTTACTACTCAGCATCTTATCTAGGTACGTGGTTTATTTATTGACGTAGCATAACGCTAGCTGTTTGGGGGCAAGGGGCTATATTTCTGGGGTTCTGGTGTACCTCGAGGATATCCAGGCCTAGACCTCCGTTTCTGCATGCTGCTCTTTTTTTACAGTCAGTTTAGCAACTTGAGATGTTAGACTGGAGTTGGAGTTCAGAGACGTTGTGTACCACCAGATTGTTTTACAAGTAGCTAGTTTACAAGCAAATTTTAAACCAATAAAAAGCAAATCATCGTTAGATGATAGCTGTTGGATTCCCAGATTGCATTTTGGCCAATGGAATCCAGACTGCTTGCAATGCCCAAATCCTGTCCCGTTGCCTACAGCTTCTTCATGTGAATGCAGAATGGGTTTATAGAGTAGATTACGGTTGTTGTCGAATTATTCCTCGTTCAGCTTGACCTAGTGTTACATTTTTCAACTATGGAAAGTGACTTGTGACTCCTGTCATGCGGTGGATTCAGTGCTGCTTTTTTCTCTCACAGTTGAATATTTATTTTCATATTTAAATGCTCTATCTATTTCATTTTGTAGAAAACATTTTAAAAATCTAAGATTCTAAGATCTTATCTTAGATAATAATCTTTTTTGTTACATGAATCGATTTCCCCCCCCACCCATAGGTGTCACCTTTTAGGGCACCAGCTGCCATCAGTGTATGTTGACTGGAGAGGCGCTGTATAAATGCTGCGTTTAACCATTCAATTGCAAGACATGTCTGACAACTGCTGAGCAAACAAAGACGTATACATTGTTTGTGAAACATTTTACACATTTTTTTTGTTATGTACTTAATTACAGAGTAAAAGAAAGTCACAAAGTATCAGGCACCAAATAGACTGCCGATGAGATGCAAACATGTATTCAGTCTGAATTTAAACATGTTGCTGCTGAAAACAGATGCTTCTCTTTTTCTGGAACCCTTCCAGTGGATGTTAGAAATCCAATTGAAACGTGACAAAACCGCAGCACAACCTTAATGCAAGGCCTTTGCATCCAGTGGACATCTGGGGTAATGCTCACTGGTGGTATGTAGGGATGCACTGATACAGCCTTTCTGTCCCAATCCCGATACCTGGCCTTTGGGTATCAGCCAATACCGAGTTAGATGCCTCATTGTCTGACTGGGATCATTCTTTATCTGGAAGGCAACATCAGGCTTGTCTTAAACATTGCTTTCCTAAATTTGTAAATCAAAATGTAACAAATAAATACATAGATATATAATAATTTGTGCACCAGAAAATTGATAAAGAATTCTTTGGCATAAAGCTTCTGGAGGTGCCTGATTAAGCTATGCGGTCTACTGGCGTGCTGCTGACTCGTGATGTAGCACAGGCATGTGTAATCAGACGGAAACATAACATCAAACTGAATAGATCCCGATGCAGCTGTTTGAGTCAGCAGGGACCGGTACATCCTTAGTGGTAAATCTTTCCAGAAGTGTGGAGGCTGTTGCAGCAGGAAATGAATGCACATGTTCTGCTATCCAGGCAGTGATGCTACGAAAAGTGATGCTCTGTAATTTATATACAACCCACGTAATTTTGAGCCAGAACATGCAGGGCTACCGCTAAGGAAGTCAAAGAGCAACAAAGTCCGTGTAGTGTGGTGGATGGGTTGAACAAACGCAGGACTCTCTGAATGTGTCCTATGTGAATCCAAAAGTCTTTTGTTGCATAACTTGTGTACTTAACTCACACCTCCTATGTAAGTTACGTAACAAACGTAGTTATTTTATGCAGCAAACATACTTATTTTAACCAAAAACCATGATCTTTTCTTAAATCTAACCATTTATCCTAAACAACAGGTTCTGCACTGCAGGGGCTTGCCTAGGCGCACTAATCGCTCATGTTGCTGGACATTTGTAAGAGAACACACGAAAAATGAGAAATAACTTTTCTTGAGATATCATACCAACCGTTGTGTGAGGATACATTGAACTGTCTCATCTGGGTAAAATGTTTAGATGTCCACATACCTTTGGCCATTTGTGGATGTTATTACCAAACCAACCAAAGTAATTTAGTTTGAACCGAGTGATATTATGTTCCAGTTCATCCTGCCCCACACCCGAGGGAGCTCCCATGGCCAGACCCGCATCATCCGCAAGGCCTACGAGCAGGACTTCTACACCCACATGATGGAGGAGTCCTACGAGCTGTGGGCCCAGCTGGAGCGGGAGGCGGGTGTCAAACTGTACAGGTAAGCCGTCAGCAGAAACACACAGAGAGAAAACCCATTAAACGGAACACAACAAAAGCTTTGCCAGGACACAGGGATTTGTCACATCAAGGTGCTATGTACGCACAAAAGCAGCAACTCAATCTACGGGAGCCATAAATGCATGACTTTCTCATTACCTCCGGCATCACTGAATCACCCCTTGACAGCTCCCATGCCTTTAAATGTGGAACAGGGGCTTTTTTCATCTCACTAAACCTCTGATTTTCATATGTAGAGTGGAGAGGAATTTGTGTGTTTTATAAATATGACAGTGGCATCAAACTGTGAACAACCCCCCTGCAGCACTTTAACTTTTGTGGCCATATTCTCTCTGTTTGTTCTCAGTACCAGAGAGCTGAATAACACATTCATTATTCTTCCGTCAGGGTAATAGTTCATGGTACCAAGCCACGCCCACATTATGTTCCCTAGAAACACAGTGTGCCTCCCCGTCCCCTGTGCACCTGTCTGCAGCTCATGACTGATGGGTCCACATCTGAAGGCCACCTGTGCCCTTGGGCTTGAAAAAAAGGTGTGCATCACCATGAGAAATGTCCAGGCGAAGCTGGTGTGAGCAATGCCTCCCGCTACTGCTGTTGCCTCCGGGACAGATGGAGCCATCGTAAAAGGAATAGGGCAAAGCTACAACCTTTTTATTTTCTCCACATGCATGGCAACATGTGTGCACATCCAGCAGCTGAACCAGTGCCACTAATCACCAAGTCTGACAGGTTGGACTAGATGAGGTATCATATTTACGATCCGACACTTGACGCGTGGCTTTTCCTTCCTCCGTCACACACTCTTAAACACACAAGCACGCAGGGAGACATAGTCATAAAATGTAATGATGAATGACTGAAGCTTTTCGCTGGGGTTGTCTGTGCCTTATGGCTGCTGACAGATGTCGGAGCAGCCTTTAGAAAACACTGCTGGCAAAGGGCAAGTCAGCCGTCTATCAGGCAGATTACTGAATCAGACCCTATGTTTCACAACCTCTCACTCTGGGACTCAATAAATTCAACCTGGAGCTGCTGTGACTTGCTGTCCACTGGTCATATGATGTCCAGTCAAATGTCAATGCTTACATTAAAGGTTTATTCCCATTTCTTCCAACTGACTTCATTTGATTGTATTTCATATTTCCATGGCATATTTTCTTGTAACCATGCAGATACTTGCTTTCTTCTTTTATTGAGTGCAGTACAATTTCAGGTCTGAATGCCAGCTAGCCAAACTAATTTGGAAGAGAAAAATGAGGCAAATAGCTAATTTATTACCCTTATTTTGTGTGATCCATAACAGTTTACAGACCTGCTTCAAACGTTGACCAACTGTTCTGTAGGGGTGTCCGCAACTAAGAATTGACATAGTCACGTCTTTTGGCTTGATTCCATACCCCTCCATTGTAGCGATCCACTGACAAAAGGGAAATGAAGAGAGAAGGGACTGCCAACGAGAGAGAGATGCAAGTCGCAAACAGCTGTTTTTAGCCGCCTCCCCCTGCTGATTTTGATAGAACTGTCAAAATCGTCAACATCTGACTAGTCTGTGTGAGTGGCTGTGACGTTATTCACTATGCCGCTGTGTGCAGAAGCAAAACTGTTACATGGTGGTGGCACATTTGTATAAATGTGACCTGCAAATAATAGGAAATGTACAAGTCGTCATGGGCGATTAGCTGAAAGCTGGCCTGTTTCAATAGGTGGCTGATTGATGCATATACAGTAGGCTCTACTGGTGCTATAGTCAAAATTCATACTTTAGGGCAAATTCACACCAATTTACTTGCTATACCTTCCAACCCTAGCCCCCGCTATTTATTTTGTAAGGGCAATGTCACTGCATCATGTGCTTAGTGCCGCCAAAGACGATTGTGATTGTTTTAAAAGAAATATAAACAGATATCGGAATGATAATGTGTGAAGCTAGACCTTTGTTGCCAAGTTTTGCATGCCATTTTTCTATGCAGAGAGGATATTACCATTATTTTGGCTGTGCTTACACTCCTTTATCCAACCAGTGTGAAGTTGACCTCTTGTAGTCATTGCCCTGTTTGGTTATTCTAATAATACTATGATGTCCCCTGGATTTAAATGTCCTTCAACATTGGTACTAATAATGTTTCACAGTTGGTGATTTGTGTAGGCTTCCATGCGTCTTGACCATTTCTTACTAAGATGCTACCTTCATCTCTGTTGATCTCCCCTGTCAGACAAACAGGGCTCCTGGTGATGGGACCAGAGGATAGTCAGAGTTACCAGCTGTATAAGAACAACCTGCAGAAAAACAAGGTTCCTATGGTGATCCTGAACCGTGACAACTTCTCCCAGCATATCCCCAATGTCAACCTGGCTGTGGGAGATGGCGCGGTGGTGGACATAACCGCTGGAGTTCTGTATGCTGACCGTGCACTCAAGAATGTACAGGTACCGCACAGATACTGCTGATAGAGCATTAGCTATGTTAGCTTCTGTAACTGATGTCATAAGTAAAAGCCAATCATGTGGTCCCCATAGAACATGATGTGGACGTCCGAGGACGGTGTACTTTGAGACAAAGTGGGGTCCTCCTTTGCTTCAAACCTATTTAGAAAACGAAGGTGAATAGTAACTATTACACAAACTGTTTATTGTAAACATCCACCACAGTTTACAGACCCACTTCCTGCTACAACCTATCGTGCCTACCATAGTTGTGCACTTACAATTTTCCAGTGAAATGAGGGATCAACACCAACATTTCGGGTGTGTTTACTTCAAGTTACTACAATGTATAACTCAAATAACTTGTATATATTAATATATTTTTAATAAGCTGCTTTTAATAAACTTTTTTTTTTTTTGTTTTTTAATTATAATTTATTTTTATTTTTTTCATCTCAAAAGGCTCAAGGATGTACACACACACCTGACTATAGGATGTTTGCTGGCTTTTATCCCACTGTTCTTGTCATCCTCTTGTTGTTATGTCTATGTATTGTCTCTTGTCTTTAAATTAAAAAAAATGCGTTAACACTCGATAAAATAATTGTCGGCGTTAATTAATGAATGCGTTAACGCGAAATTAATGCGTTAACTTGCCCAGCACTAATGTGTGTGTGTGTATACGTATGTATTTGTGTATGTGTATTTGTGTATACGTATGTATGTGTATTTGTGTATACGTATGTATACATGCGTGCGTATGTATGTATGTATATGTATGTATGTATACATACACACACTTTTTTTATGAAACATTAAATGCATTGCAATTACATCTTTGTGTAGACTACATTTCCCCGACCAGTGTGACTTTGTTAAAATACATTAACAGTAACTAATATCATCTCTCTTTCAACTGAACAAATTAACATTTTCAGTGAAGGATTTTCAGTAACACATGTTGTGTTGTTCTCTTTTCCCAGGGGCAGTTTGAGAAGTTGGGTGGGGTCATTAGAGACAATGAGAAGGTAACTGACATCAAACCTGGCCCTGTTGTGACAGTGTCAACCTCTGCTGGTGTGTATCGAGCCAAGAGTGTGGTGATCACCGCTGGACCCTGGGCTAATAGACTGCTGGCCCACACTGGCTTACAGTTGCCACTCAAGGTAATCAATTCCATGGTGTCCCACGTGAAATAATGTTTGTATAGCTTCGTATATATCAATATTGTACTCGGGTGTGAATTTCAAGAGGATTCAAGACATTCAAGAAGTTAACATACATGTTAATGATACCAAAAGCTTGGTGTCATTGGCAGCACTTAAGCATGCACTTCACTATGTGGTTGTTTTACTGCATATCAAAACTATAACATGGTGGATGTAATCCTAAACATCAACGCATTTCTCGGTTTCTGGATTCTCTGTTAATCTTCACACCATTTTTGGCAGTAATATCCTAATAATGATGAAAAATAATTTAGTTTTTAGCACACTTTACAAAGTGCTCCACAATAAAGGATGAAACGCAGGGTAATAAAATGAAACCTCCAATAATGAGGCATCATTTCATCAAATGAAAGATCCCTGTATAACTGCAATAAATGACACAGAATCAGTGAAACTGATTAACAACCCTAAATGAACAGTAGTTTTACGCATTTCACATCAGACTCTGTATGCTATCGACTTGAAGTTGTCCATCTCTCATCCAGTTTCCTTCTCTTTTCACCACTGGAATCTTGCCCTGCCTACTCTTTGTTGGGATCTGGCAGGAACGTGTTGGTTATCAGCAAGTATAAAAACTAAATTATTGACATAAATAGGATTATTAAAATAAAGGAGATTATTAACAAATATTAATAATAGCGGGGCACCACCCTGAGAACAGGAACCAATAACTAAACTATAAATGAAGTCTCAAAGTTGGTGTTCACTCACAATGTCCATAGTCAAAGTACTATTCCACATTGGGAGTGAACAGTTAAGGTTTGAATTTGAGCACAGGCTATGACAGTGGTTCTCAAACTGGGGGACACGCCCCCCTAGGGGGGACACAGTGGAACTACAGGGGGGGGGCACGGCTTCATCACCAACCCACACACACAGGCACACACACACACCGGTAAAACAATATAAAATAAAATTATAACAAATACAATTGCAAATAAGTTGTTTACAAGCGTACTATATACGCTATTTTTTTCAGTAAAACAAACTGAACAATAAACTGAAGTGGAAAACTGAAGTGATATATACTTATTTTAGAAAGAAAAACAAATATTTTATAGAGTTTATATATTATAATGCAATTAATTCTGAACAAAGAAGGTACGACCCATTTGGGGTGGGTGGGGTCGGGTGCGGTGGGGGGGGGGGGCTTACAATGTTCCTATATCATCAAAGGGGGGCTTGACAGAAAAAGTTTGGGAACCACTGGGCTATGATATCCAGCTATTATCACAACACGCATGCACAAAGTAATCACAGAAAGCTGCTCTTTAAAGTAGTCTTGTACGTGATCATGCCACGCGAGACTACAAAATGCTGTTTTGTAGGGAAAACTATCAAAATGGTGGATATAGTTTAGACTACAAAAATGGCAGAAGATAGATGGGACTACAAAATTGGTGGGTGTAGTCTCGTAGGTGAACATGGCACGCAAGACTACAAAATGGCGGCGGGGCCACATGTGTCTGAGCTCTGATGAGCAGCAAAACCTATATATGTGTGTGTGCGGGGGGGGGGTTAGTTAAACCAGATCCTCATCGCCACAGTAAAATACAGGAAATGTTTCTCTATCGTGGATTTTTACAGTGTCAGTGACACCATAGGGAGCCCCCTGTGGTGCCTTTGGCCCTCGTCCAATGAGACTTCGATGTTTAGTTTGGACCATAAATGACACGTAGGTGAGACTTAACGTCTGGTGGGGCTTGGTGTGATTTTAACCCAAATCAGACTGTTGGACCATGTAGGCCCAACTACCAACTCCTGTTCCAACCACATGGTGAAGCCCAAACATATTTAAATGCCCACCTGAATTTGCCACAGAAACAAAAGTATTACTCCTCCATATTTAAACAGCTAAGAGGCCTCAGTCAGCAATGCAGTCTTTTCCATCTCGCAATATGCCACATGGGCTGAAAAGAGAAGGTGATGGGAAAACAAGCAGACAGCTGTTAGAGTGGAGAATTGGAGTTGATATTGGAATTGCATTATTCAGGCTAGCAGCAGGCTGGGGGGGGGCTGGGGAATGCCATGCCTGAGTGAACTGGTAGAATAAGCACCGGCTCTGAGCTCGTTGACTCGCCGGAGCACTTCTGCCTGAATTTTTATGGTCCCTGGGAATGAGTGCACGGCCGGTTAGTTCATTACATTGAAAGCTCCTGAACAATGTGTCCTTATTATTGCCACCCTCAGATGGATGTCATTTGTACAACCATGTGTACATTTCATTAAATCCCAATTCTCCCTTCACCACCGCAGAGTTACTTTGGTAATTGCACTTCTACGAGACAGAAAAAAGTGATGAGGGGGATTGAGTAGGTGCTATGGAGGTTTTATTACAAGCTGCCATTTCTGTGCCAGTGTGTATTCATTAAAGTGTATGGCTTCATGCAGAGAACAAGTGTAGTATTGAGTTGTACAATAAATATATAATTAATAAAAATCTATCTATCTATCATATCTGAGGTAACACACGCTACCAAGATTACCATGACATTTAGTGTGAACATTCAATAATAATTTAATAAGGACAATGTCTGATGATGGTAATGATCTCTCCTCTGGGAAACTTATGATCATATTTGCATCCAATGTGATCTAATGGCTATCTATGGTCCATGCACTGTGCTGTCATTAGCACTATAAAACCTCGTTGGGTCTTTTAATGGACAGTTTGAACAAAAGGTATCTTTACAGCAAACATATTGACATCCACACATTGTCTGATTCAGCTCCGCTGTCACAAGGACCAACACAGGAAAACATTCCTGCCCACTGCCATTAGACTCTATAATATATCACCTCTGGCCAAATCAAACACAAGACTATAGTCTTGTGTTTAATAACACTGCTACACTGTTGTTGGTGATCTTGTGCACTACAGTTTTGTTTATTTTTTTCCTACTTAGTTAATTTAATACGATTCTATTTAGTGTATATACTGTGCATTTTTATTTACTTTATTTTCTTAAATTTAATAGGTCCTGCTCTGTTATTTTATTATATTGTATATTTTGTGCATTTTCCACACTTAATATTTTTATTTTATTGTGTAACCTTGTTTGCTGCTGCCACAGACAAATTCCCCTTGGGGATGAATAAAGTATATTTCTATTCTATCCAACTATTGTTGTCAGTTGCAGTAAGAGCCTATATTTATTATTTTTGTTTGGAGGATGTGTTGGAGTAGTATGCTGTTGGTACTTGAGAAACCCTATGAATTTCAATCAAGGAGTTTTGTGCATCAAAACTAATGCGCAATATACACTATGGTCTATCACTAGGTCTTAAGGGACAGCCAGATCTCTGGGACTTGGCTGGCACTAATGGTTTTCCTGGTTTCACTACTATAGGTGGTGAAGATCAACGTGTGCTACTGGAAAGAGAAGGTTCCAGGAACATATGACGTGAAGCAGCGCTTTCCCTGCTTCTTGCTGACTGAGAGTGAGGAAACCAAACATCACATCTACGGCCTCCCGTCCAATGAGTACCTGGGCCTAATGAAGGTATGTCACAGAACTGAACCCTCAAGAAGAAGACCCTTGATTCTGTACAGAGCCCTCAATATCCATGGTAATAATGCAGTGGTGGGCCGTCAGGGCCAGCAAAGCCTTCTCTGCTGGCCTAAACAGAATCACAAAGTTATAGCTATTTTATTATTTAATAATTTTTCACAAATGCACATATTGATGTATTACATTTTTTTTTTTTCCCATTATCTTATTTTCTCATTGCACAGCTACTGTCTTCCTCAGTTGCTCTGCTTCCAGTGCAGCTTGTTTTAAGTAGAGCTTTTATCCAATCAGATTCCACCTCTGTGTCTCTAGGTAAGAAGAGAGGCCCGAGGCCTGCTGGATAGCCTTTGCAGATTGAATAAATTCTAGGGTATTCTAGGTAGCCTACAACTACGTCAGCAATAACGTTCAGCTGGCTCAGTAATAACGTGCGGCGTGACTGGTCAGTGGGCTAGCGTGACTGTTATAACGCTGAAGCAGCTATCCGAAGTTAGTATTAGTAGTAAGAGTTCAAGTTGAAAGATATGTAAGAAGTTATGACATTGACATGGCATTTCTAGCGGTTTGCTTGGTGTAGATTATTATTATTTTTACCTAGCTTTGTTGTTTTAACACTCAATGGCTGAAGGAGGAGAAACGGATTTCTCAAGGACATTTCCAGAAAAACTGGACATCGTATCAAAGGGTCGGCCAACCCCATAGCTAGCAGCCCTGACCCAGCATGGAAAAGGATTTGTATGAACGGTAGTTCTGGCTGACAGCGTCGGAGAAGCGTTGCACATTTTATGGCTGGGAATGCGTTTCATTTGCAACTGAGTGTTTGGAGCTGTTTGGAGCTACACTACGATAACCCGAGGTGGCTAACCAAGGCAGCAAAACGACTCCATAGCACGACGAGACACTTACAAGCTGAGAACCGAGTGGATCTACAACTCAACGAACACGTTCGCAGGAGGACCTCTGGCTGGAACTGAACTGAACCGATGTTCTGTACAACCGCATCATTAAACTCTTCATTAACAAAGAAAGGAGGATGGACTTTGTCTTTAAGTGAACAGCAGCTTTGGTAAGTGAACTGCTTTTGTGTTTTTACATCTGCAGTAGCGTTACTACTGTGTTCATTTGTCTATGGTGTCGTTTGTATGATATGGTAAATATTGTTCCCTCTGATGTGAATAATATTTGAATGGCCCGTGCTCTTCAGTGTGTGGCGGAATACGTGTTTTAGCACTGCAGTGTTGCTGGATTGATGTGTCATGCTTTGTTGTCATAAATATATGTGACTGGTTCTTGTGAGTTTGTTATTGTCATTGTGTTAATTACATTGATTTTGACTATATGCATTGTCCATTAATGACACAGCATCCCGCCATCGCGGGGTTAGGTTCGGACATTTGATTCTCTGTTTGGGGTTTTGTTTTCTTTTACAAAGCAATAATTATGGTCTGGAGAAATGGGGATTGTGTGGCGATTGCTTTAGCCCTGTTTGAATCGGTAGGGAACAGCTAAACGCTGCGGGGAGAGTTTGTAGCTTGTGTGCTGCTGTTGGATTTCTTGTTAAGCTAGTTTAGCGTGCCTCCTGGAACACACGCAAAACAGGGTACAATGTTTTGTTTCTGGGGTCAGAGTGTCTCTTACTTGGTGGGTTGCCAGTTTGAGCAAAGTCCACCGAAAATATTATATTTCCCTTAATTTAAGCTTCTACATTTTCCAAATGCACTAGTATTATTCAAACGTATTGTTTGGTTCGTAAGCCTCGTACCGAACGGTTTAATATGAATACGTGTATTGTTACACCCCTAGAAACAAATAATAACCGTAGCTGTGGCATCATAATGAGGTTATTAGGAGTTAGTAGGACAGCACAGAAGGCCCAGGTATAAAATGCACGGCCCGCCACTGTAATATATGTCAAAAATAGTATTCCTGATCATTTATATTTTAATGTGATTCCATCAGTTTGTTTTTCTAGTTGATCATTTACTTCATTATTCAGTGTGACTTTGTAGCACAAAGGCAGTAAAACTGCGCAAAAAATACATCAAAACATGCAGCCTGATCGGGAATCGGGAATCGTGTGCTATCTATTTTCTAGAGTTTTTTTTTTTTTTTTTTTTTTTTTTTTTTTTTTTTTTGTTTTTGCACGAATGTTCAGAGCTAGAGTGAGGACATAACTGTCAGAGTGGAGCAGAGCAGGAAAGTATTCTGTGATTTTTTTATTTATTTATTTATTTTTTATTTTTTATTTATTTTCATTTTTTTCCCCCAAACAAATTGCTCCAGGTCCCATCATTTTTACTCCTTATACACCATTTTTGGCCAAAAAGCTTGGAAATGTTGTGCTGGTCGCAGTAAAGTGTCTATGGAATCCAACGGACTTAAAACTAAGCATAGATGGTAAACTCCAAGTACTTGCTATCATATTATTCTCCACCTGTAAGAGGTGCTACTAATTCTACTAAGAAACACTTCTAACTATAAATTCTAAAACACTCCTATAATTATGACTAATTATGAATTCCTAAACACTTCTAATTATGATTTCTTAATTATGAACCATTAAACACTTCTATTATAATTTCTTAAAGCACACTTCTAAACCTATATTTCCAACACGCCGAAACCCCATTCAAGTGAATGGAGAAATGTTGCTCCGTTTTTCGGGATTTTTGGGAAAAAACGCTCTGTATATGTATGCCAAACATTATGATTGTGTCTCCTCTCGCCCACCCAGCCCCACCCTTTCAAAATGAAAGCCCCTTGGAGTAACTTTATCTTTACATCTTTACAAGCTCAGAATGAGGTTCATTTTAAGTAATGTTAAGTTCAAGTCTTTCCATCATGTAACCCTCTTAGTATCTGCAGGTATACTAAAATTATTTGTTGGACCAGGACCTAGGTTCATAAGGAGAGGTTTATAGCCAATAATAGACACACAAAGAACTGGAGCCACAGAATGGTTTGATTTAAAAGATTATATTGAACCTTGTGAAGATAAAATTGACATCTTATACAACATTTACAATGCTCTTCTCAATCAGATAACTCGGCACATCTCCATTGGAATGTGTAAAAGTGTCTCTGAAATGCAATGTTCCTTCAGTTTGTTCCTTTCGCGTTCAAGCTCCTTCCTTGTTTCCTTATTCAGTCAGTTCAAATATTCAACAGTCAGTTTCAGTTCCAAAGTCAAAAGAATAAGTCAAAGTAGTAAGATGTGTTGCTTTCTTAATCCTACCACACTGGTGCACTCAGGTGATGAGAAACGAAGAAACTCTTGTTTTCTCCTCAGCAACAAAGAAAATCTTGATCCTACTCCTCGAGGTAAGGAGATGATCAGTTCAGTGGTGGCTCACCATCTTCCTCATCAGGAAGAGTTCCATATCCAGTATCAAAGGTATCCAGGGAACATCAAAAACCTAGCCAGGACACTGCCACAAGTTGTAAACTCGTGGCACAAAGGTCTCTGAATCACCTCTCACGTTGCATGAGTGCAGACTCACAAAGCGCTGTGTCTCTGACCGTTTAAACAGTTATCACTTGTAACGGCTGAACTACTTTATGAAACAGATAGTGCTCGTTCCCTCGCGCACTGTTGCAAACTATTTTTCCGGGGAAGTTGCTAGAGGCAGGTCGATTAGTTGCTAAAAGTTGCTAAATTACGTTGTGACGTCATTACGTAATAATGTAAAACTGTGTCATTACGTGATAACGTAAAACTGCGTAATTACGTAGACTACACAATAACATTACTCAAATTGACTGTCCATCTCGACAAATAATATGATTTGACATCTGTTAATTAAGATTTTTTGTTTATTATCACATTTGTATTTGTAGAAGTAATTTAAACACAACACATTTTATATGATCAGATATTTTTAAACACAACACATTGAATTATTGAACAATTACTTTTTTTTCTTTTCTTATTAACTAGTAAACCTACACATTCTGAACAATTTAAACAGTGTACTGGTAGTTAGTTAACATGCAACCAAACTGATCAATAATTATAGTTACAAGCTAATAACAAGGTATATATGATATCTTATTGAACAAGCAACTTAACTCAAATAATGATGTGTGCACTGGGCATCTCTTTCCAGCTGTCTCCAGGCTGTTGTGCTGCTTGGCTGGCTAGCTGCTCAATGGTTTCCTCCAGATATTGCCACTGTTCTCGCTCACACGGCAGTGCACACTGCCACCATCAGCTGTGTGTCACCGCCAGTTCCAGAAAGTCCACTCCTTGCATACATACTGTAAATATGATGAATCAAAAAGTGGAAAAGAGAACCTCTTCATCTTCACTGTCCAACTGCATTGTCACGTAGCTGGAACCAGCAGAAGAGGATGGAGTGGCCTTAAAGCCGTATGCTGTTTTGGTGCCAAACTGCTCCAGAACTTCACTTGGTAGTTTGTGCTGGTAACGGGTATCTCCAGCCAGCTTCAGTCCATACCGCACCAGGAGTATGGAGTTGAGTGTGCAGTAACATCCTATTTCTCAGCTTTGACTTGACCACACTCATTTGGCTGAACAGCCGTTCAACCTCCGCATTTGAGTGTGGCAAGGAGAGGGCAGCAAGTGCAGCTTTGCACAGTTCTTCAAATGGATTTGACCTGGAAGAGTCCCTGTAGTTTTTTACTTCACTCCAAAACTCAACTGTATTTTCAGTTGAGTCCCACCTAAACAGATGGATGATTCTCCATTGGGAAACAATTTTGTCAATTGTTTGGGGATGGTACCCCAGTAGCTCAACTACTTTAATAATTTCAGTGGTGCCTTTATTGTGGTTTAGCGTGTCCTTAACACTGAACAAGGCCATGTTTCGCAAGGCTTCTAGGTTGTCTGGGAGCCTTCCTTGCAGCTCCTTGCTTAAAGCAACAATGTAGTTGATGCACCGTCTACGAATGACCTTTTTGTCGTCTGGCGCAAGACTGAGTCGGGACACTGTGCTCTCGAAAAGGTACCCAAGGTATGGTGATGGACTGAG